CTGTGTGTCTCTCACTCTTGGTGTGCTTGTGCCTCCCAGATATTCCTGCGCCTGCCGCGCGATATGCGTTGTGGGGCGCGGACTGGGACGAAGTCGCGGAACCTTGACGAAGGCCAACAAAACGACTACGACGACTCCAGGCGTATGCATTTGAAGTTATTTTTTTTTAATTTCCTTTAGAGAAAGCTCTTTGCAGCTCAGATGTGTGCGATCTTTCTATTTGAGTATGAAATTAAAACAATACTCGTACATAAATTTTCCCATAGCATTACATTCTACATTTGGATTTTGCACACATCAATCGCTGGTGTTTGTGTTGCAGCGGCGCCATGGTGCGTGAGAATGGCCAGAGCTCTGCGATTCTGTTGGAGACGGGAGTATGTGGATGGTTGGTACCAAAGGATCACACAGCTTCACATAATGCGCTCGTGTAACACAGACGTTCTAGTACATCCTTTGTATTAATAAATACACCTTGAACACGATTTAAAATGGACTTAAACCATTTTGGACTTTCATATCTTTGGGGTTCATATCTTAATTTTTATAGACTTAAAATGCACAATTTAACCCTTCTAGTTCAACAAAGCAAAACAATAACTTAGAACACTGGAGAACTTTTAACTTATTATATATCCCTAGGTTGTTTAATTAAAAAATTGTTTAAAAATGAAATCGTTATAATCTCACAATAGATTAAAGAGAGTATTTATTATACCCTAATTCAATTTTAAAAATATTCTGTTAGAAGTTCTGCAAATAAATGCGGCAACACGAAATTTCTTTCATAAATATCGTAGACGAAACGCAATAGTGTAATCATATGAAGATAAAGAAAACTAAAATGAATAATTTGTGTTTTTTTATTCCAAGTTTTAGCATTATTTTAAAATTATTGAAATAAAATAATATCCAAAAATTATGGGAAGTCAATAATTCAAATTTACAAGAGAAACAGTGATTCAAAATTTGTAGGGTAATATGTCACTCTTTCTTTAATGCTATCCTAAATGAACATTAAAATTTCTAAAATTCGTGAAAAAATAGTATGCCACCAGTGATTAAGTAAAGTTTCATTCATTCAAAAGTAGGCCTTACATTTGTCCTTGGTAGATAAAAATATTTAAACACTTTGGTATACAAGTTATATTTCTGTATTTAGTATGGCCATTTCTGTGTAACGTCTAAACTCAAGTGATTTGAATTCTCTACTCGTCTCTTATTGCAGCAAGATCGACAGATTCGGCTACATCCACCGTTGGTGATAAAGCTGAATCCACTGGGAAAACAGGAACAACGTTTTTAAGGCCACCAGATCCTTCCAAATGTAAGTTGTGGCTGCAAAAACCTCCTAATGTTTATTTGTTGGCACGTCAGGAAGGTGTAGGGAAATCCCCTCATTATCACCAAACATTAGTTTTAGGTTTAATTTTTATAGCAACTCTGAAGATGGTACATTCTTTCTTCCGAAGTATTGTATTTCTGAAGAAGTACTTATATTTCGCGAGTTATAACAATTGAAGTTGTTTGACCTCCATAACAAACTGTGTAATTATTTACCACCCCTTGGCCTGCAAGAAAAAACAACTGCGTTACCTATAAATTTTTTGCATTCTTTGAGCTTCCTAAGATCGTTTTCACCTATCATTTTTAATTACAGAAGAACCTATGTCCTACATAAGTTTGAATCGAATCCATTATAATGTTTGAACATCTCTAAGCCTCCAGATCACGATGTGCCAAGTTATTCTCGCAGTTTTGACCTCCAAAACGGTTTGGTATGTTAATCTGTTTTCCAGATAAAATCAGAGGTGCCCTTTTTTAAAAACGTCGCAGTATTCAATTACAAAGCTTTTTCTTCTTACGAAGAAATTTGAAAGACGACAAAATAAACATTTCTCAATTTTTTGGGTACCTAATTTGTAGAACAGAAATATTTCTTAAAAAAATTATAGAGGAGTAAATCCTCTTCCTCAATGGAATTTGTTGTTGATAAATTTGGAGTCGTTTTTAAGAAAATGTCGTTTAAGCCTTACTGTAAATTCAATATTTGAAGCTACTTTTACAGAAAACTTTTGAGTTTTTGAAAAACTTGATAGTTACCATTCAAAGTATATGTAATCATAAATGCAATAAGGTAAGTAAATCGCCGCTACTGTAAATATTATCACGAAAGAGGATTAGAAACATCATACTTTTGTAAATTTTGAAAAATAACAAACAAAATATTATAGAACAATGGAGTTTCTTATCATATAGAGTACACTTAACACTATCCCTTGAAAAATTTTGAAGAAAAAATTTGGACTCGTATTTGAGAAAATCTTGTCTTTGTTATTTTCTAATATTACACATATTGTACGCAATATTTAGAGAAAACTACTGCAATTTTCAAAGACATGCACATCATCCTAACGATGAACTAACTACGGAGAAAAAATTTTACTTGAAGAAAAATCTATCTTTAATTTCGTAGTTATAGGAAGACGCCCACGAAATTCCAAATTTTGCAATTATCGAAAATTCAGAGTTAACAATGAAAATCGTACGTATGCCACATTTATAAGTGCAATAGCGTATGGGAACGGAAACTTGTGACAACCAACGCTTGTGAACCTTCCCAGGTCTCCCCTATTCCGTATATACGTACGTATACCAGAAAGTGAAAATGAACCGTTGAAGTGAGACGACTTCAACAAATTCATCCTCGAGAAAGTTCAGTTTCTCACAATTCAGAACAATCCCCTACATGTCACATCATCTGTACACGAGAAAAGAGATATCTCAAAAATCGTCAGAAAATGTAGAAATATGTTTAGAAAATTTACTACTGAACATTTCCTGATAGCTCACAAGACAGACTTTATAATGTAAAAAACTTCTCTTTGGACGCAAAATAAACGGCTCCCCTTAGAATCTTTTTAACCTTTCTTTTGCAAAAAAGTTTTTTTGGAAATTACTATTTCCTCTTGCTCTGATGCCATTATGCAATTTCATTTACTTGCATTCCAAATTTGGGTAGATGGTCTACATGGAAAGTTTTTCATGTGTCGTGTGTTTGTGCAGTTCGTGAAAATCAAAGAGCCTCCTTGAAAACTGGTCTCCCTGCGATTTGGGGGCGGACGTCAATCCTACAACTTTACCTAAGGCAGCTGCGAGCCCTGCTGTTGAAGCGCTTTCACCACACGCGCCGCAGCCCCAAAGTCCTCTTCAGCCAGGTGAACTCGCAGAGCGCTGGAATTGTTGACAGTTTTTTTTCTTTATTCAGCGACTATTTACAATTTATTTCATAGGTGAAATAATCAGTAGATACTATTATTAGTAACTAGTAGAAGGCGTGGAGCACGTGTTCTTTCATTGTCTCCGCTTCGTTGAGGAGAGAGAAGACCTCCACCGACTCCTTCAGCAGGTAGTGACTCCTGCTACCTTCGTCACTAGGATGCTGGTGTTCGAAGAGAATTAGAGTGCGGTTTCCCTGTATGCCGCAAATGTTTTGAAGACTCTTCCGTTAGACAAGCTACTACGAAAGAGAATCCCGTGTCATCAGTTGGCATGCAGCGATATGCTGATCTGCCCTTCGCGTGTCCCGCGGGGTTCAGAACATTGCGTGAAAACGTAAAACTACCAAGTATTCGTCTTTCATGCGAACGAACACATCATGTGGTCAAACAGGAAGACATTTTTCGTACAATACAGTGTAGCCCCATAACAAGCACGTGAAGACAGCACGTGTCTGTTTCGCGATCCCTGCGTGAAGACAGTTTGTATCGATTTCTCCCACAGCGTGTGCAAAATCTACACCCAGAAGACAAATCCATACGTCTACAATTTTGTCACTGGTTACGTTCTTACAAAGTTCTAATTGCCAATTGCTTCCAGCCATTTTGTTCATCGATGAAGCTATTTTCAACCGTAACGCAATAGGCAACATATATAACTCGCATCTATGGTCTCTACCATTACCCACATGGTACTTTGGAAAACAATTATCAATTTCGTTACCCAGTGAATATGTGGTGAGGTAGATTAATGACATGTTGATTGATCTTGTTATTTTACGTGATCGTATGCCAGGACAAAATTATCTTGACTTTCTGCAACATGAATTCCAGAACTAAGAGATGTTCTTTTGGCCATATAAATTGCTATTGCTACTCTCAGCATGTCAACTTGTCAATATTCTATGCATGTGATGCACTATCTCCATGCCACATTTCCTAATCGGTGGATCGGTCGAGGCAGTGCCGTTAAGTGGTCACCAAGATCTCCCGAACTAACCCCATCCGATTTTTGTTTCTGGTGTTCGATAAAACAAGGAGTGTATAGAACAACAATTAATACACGAGACGAATTTCTGGAATGCATAACAGATGCTGTCGTACCCAAAGAAACGTCAAGATGCATTTAGTCCAACATTACATGATCTTGACAGAAGAGTTGAAACGTACATGGATGTAGATTGAGGAATTTTCGGGTTTGTTTTGCATGGTGTCAACTGTACCGTCTATGTGTGTCACCTATGTAACTTAAGAAATAAATATCAATATTACAGTCTGAAAGTTTTGTTTTCGAATCACTTCGGAAGAACACACAAAAATACTGTACAGTCGAGCAGCTCTATCTCGGAAACCCTTCGTAAAGGTACACATGATCATATGAACTTTTATGCTTAGAAATACCGACAGTGGCCTTCCAAATCGTTTCTTCCTGCGATGCCAGTGCGACTCGGATACGAGACTAAAATTCTGAGAAAATATTTAAAGTTCGTTCTACAAATATTTGATTTTTGGTTCTAAAAGAACAAAATATTATATATTAATTCTAAATTAATTGTCGTGCTTGGTGGTGAACTGAATTACATGTTTTGCGCATGAGGATTATTTCTTGAAGATGCAGTGCCGCTGCAGGGCAAGGATTGCACACAAGTACGACGAGTATACACGAGTACTTAGTGAACTCGCTTCCCTTTAAACTACAAGATGAACTGAAAATAATTCGTAATGCTAATTCGAAATATTTGGTAAGTAGATGTTCTTTTGTAAATTATATTACTTTAAATAATTTGACTCTAAGTAGTTGGAACTAATCTTAGTTAAACAGAGTTAAACAGAAAAATTGTCGTAATGATTTTATCCTGAGCTGTTAATCTTAGAGTGAACCTCGTTTGGGCAGCCTGATTCGAAAGTGCTAGAGGTTCTAGGATTGCTAGAATGTGTGCAATACGAAGCTTTCATGTAGTGTCACACTTCTCGTCGCTTTTGGAAACCAACTCCGGGTAATTCAGTAAGAGTTAAGGAATTCTTACAATTCCGATTTTGTCATTAGAAATTTACGAAGTTCTCTCTGAAAATTAAAAAAAGAATATTTCAAAATTCAAATTAAGTTTATTTGTAGTGTTTTGAATTGTGGAACAAACCGTGGACCGGCGCTGGGGGCCCTACCTGTGGAGAGCGCGAGTCACAAGGCGGCGCTGCGTTGCCTTGGGGACTGCGCAAGTCCCTCGCTCGCAGTCGTAGCGCTTTCAATGGATTCGAAAATCCAGAAGGCGAACACACAGAACGACTGATTCCAGCATCACGTTCGCCGTTCACATTAACCGAGTAACCATTTAATATTTCATGGATTCATTTTTTGGAGCAAATCAATATAAATTATTATAACATTATTAATATAACATCACAAGACAAATATGAAAATGTTTGGGTATGATCATATCTTGTATTTAATGATCAAACCTATTTAAGAGATCCACAGTATGAAATCTCCACAACCTTCTTAAGTCTTGGGTATTGTCTAGTAAGTTTAATGCTTGGTAATTTAGGTGATTAGCGTTTGAAATGATTTGTCAACTGAATCGGACTTCTTAATGTATTGTGGGTGCAATGAAGTCACTGTGTTATGTTTTATTTGAAACAGACCATAAAAACTACGAAATGGTAATGGAGAAGTCCGCTGCGCTCCCCAAGCCGCCAGAGGGTTGTTATGCGCCTGCGCAGCTGGGCATGCCGCCGCTGTTCATCACGGTGACGCTGGCGCTGACGCAGTTCCTGCCGCGGCCGGGCCCGCCCCCGCCGCTGTACCTGCAGCCCTGGCTGTACGGCCCGCCGCGCCAGACGGTCTTCGAGGAGACCTTGCTGCCCACGCCGAGCAGCGCCTTGCACGGAGCGGCGTCGGCGGCGACGCGACCCGCTGTACCCCTGACGGTGAGACCTGTCTTCAGCGGCCACTCGAAGGTGCAATGCAACAACTGACTGATATGCCTCTGGGAAACAATTGGCACTCCTGCAGTGACTCTCGCTGGGAGGTTCTAGGGTCAATGGTGGGTTTTCGATACTAGCTCGATTGCTAAGTCCAATTCTGCTGCTGACTACAGAAGAATTCTCATCTTCGTTCAGCCTTAGAAGGATCCTGATGTAAACAAAGAAGCATAGATTCATCCAAGACCACTAACCTCATTGGCCGATTCTCCCAGGTTCCTTTAATTTCTATAGTTTTATTCACCCCAAATTAATGAGTTACCTCTCGTATGTTTTCTAAAAGAAGTCCTGCCACCGGATCCGCCATTATAAAATGATAGGTATGCACAAAAATTAAATTTGTTAGAAGATACTGTTCTATTACTTACGAATCCTAAGGAACGCTGCTTTTGGAACTTATGAGTGAACCGCTGATAAAACTCTATCGGCACCGGACGATGGATGTAAGGTTTCTTCACCGCCATTGCTCGACGCCTTCGTCTTCTGCATATTTCCGAGCAGTGGCCCTAATCAGAGTTTTCAGTAACTGTTTCCTGGATTCTACGAATGTTTTTCATTCTCTAAACCCTTTCTTGTACTTTCAACCTTGCAATTAAACAAGGAAATTTATAATTTCGACAAGAACTATTTTCAGAAGCTAAGCGTTACACGTACACACCCGCAAATCCAAACACCCAATAGGAAGGTGCACTAATCGGGAGCTGAGATAATGTCTGGACTGGCGCGATGCCTCTCTGGAGGGGATAAACTAAATCAATCTGTAGGTATTCGTCAGAGCTCATGTATCAGCAAGGGGGGCTGGGGCACCACCACCTTCCGGGAAATATTACGCACTGCACTTACGGAACTATTTGCACAGGCGGAGAAAAAAAGTAGTCAGACCCAACGACTGGACTCATGTTTCTCTATGTATTTCGAGGAGATGAATTCGAATCTGAAGCCAGAATTGTGCCACGATTGTTTTCACACAAAATATCTATATTGGGATTGAGTGCGTCAAAATACGTAGAGAAGCATGGGTGACGTCTTTTGGTCTGACAACTTTTTGTATGCTTGTGTTATCATTGCAGTTAACGTGACAGGACACACAAAACAATAAATAAATTGCTCAATCGACGACCAATGTATATCGATAAATCGACAACATCGGACCGTGTGGAGTACATGCTTTGGAGATGGGCATTTGCAGGATCCCACTGCGTCCACGACTGGACCCCCGATGACGTGGAATGTGTCATCGGAGGAGATGATGCACTCGTACGCGCTGGGGCTGATGCACCACCCCGGCATGGGCACGCGCTGCACGCTTGGCACGGACAACAAGCCCAGGTACCTGCTCCCTGCAAGTCAGTGGCAGATTCAGAGCTTTACAAACGTTTCTAAATAGTAGTTTTACTCTCTCGCATTTACTTCGTAAGAAGTGAAATTAATGTAATCGTGCGCCGAAAAACGCTAATTTTCGGCAGCAACAAGTGGATAAATCCTGTTCCCAAATAGTGCATTACTCACGTATTGTAACGAGAATCCCTGTTTTGTCAATCGACGTGCAATTGTTTTGGAGTATTCTTACAACTACAATATTGAAGATAGCGAGTTTTCACTTTAATAAAGTCTATTCTTTAAAAATAGAACTTGAAATAAGGAAACGTAAAATGTTTCGAAATTATGAGTAGTTTTAGAGTAATTTTGAATGAAATATATTCAATTGTTAATTATTTTTTGTCTAAAACGGCACCATTTCTTTCTTTAAATTTTCTCCATGTATGTAACAAGGGACGATAACAAATATGGTGCTAGTCCTATCTTCGGAAAACTCCAAATTTTCGAAAATACCAACAATTTTAACATTTTAAAACTAAAAAATTCAAGATAAAAATGTTTGCTTTAGATGAAGTGTGTTGCAAAGGATCAGCTCTTTAAAAACGGACACTCACAACCTTTTGAAAAAAAAAGTAGTTTTTCCGTAATTAGTGCTTGAAATCAATGCAATTAAAAAATAATTCTAAAAACGATCCAACATTTTTCTTCAAATTTTTCCACTGTTAGAAGACGGAACTCTTAAAAGAATGCGGACTATATGGCGGGGAATTTTTAGAAATGATCAAGCTCGCATAACCAACAACGAACATTCACTCTCAGAATTGCTCGAGTATTTGGTAATTTCGTAATATGAGAACTGGGCAGTGAAATAACCTGATTCATCTAATCAACTCAGTGGCTCTGCGCGCACAAGCGCCAACGAACAAAATTCGCGCGGTAATTCGTTAAAGAGCCCAGTCACACTACGAATACGTGACAGTTTTACCCGACCGATTTTGTGCGCGTTTAAATGCACGCCCCGTGAAGGGTAACATCCTTTCTGAAGTGAGGAATAGAAGAGTGGATGCAATTTAAACGTACTTTGTGGGCGTGTGTTTCTGCGTCACCCTGCGTTTCCTTCTGGACCGGATCAGCTTTGACGATGTCCAGGGACCTCACCACGGATACCACCCAAGGCAATCTCGGGTACTTACACTTTCAATAATCCGTTTTCTGTTTTAGAAAATTTTGTGTTAAAGAACACAAGGTGGCTATTGTTCCTCCAAAGTGGCATGCTTGTCTCAAATTGTCCTCTGTCTTTCAAAACGACTCTGTTGTTTGTCAATACACGCGAAAGGATAACAAACACTTTCTCCTGAATTAGTGTTTTCATTTGAATTTTCTTCATCTTTTTCTGTTAGATCGTTTACTAGTTTGAATACTAGTTCGTTGTGATGAACGCATAGCGAACGCTTATCCAACCGCAATAGGTACACGTACCTCCGTACGGAAAAAAAGACGAAGAAAAAAATCCGAAAGTCGATGGAAGAGACAGAGAGACCGGCAACACCCCCATGTGGCCCGGGCCTACTCGAACGGGCTCGGCGCAGGCGGACGCTGCTGTACGCTTCGCCCCAAGTCCACTCCTCGAGCCTCTCTTTATTGGTTTAGTCGGTTCGTACCGCTGGCAGACGCACCCAAGGCACTCCTCCAGTCTTAAACTCTTCCAAAACCCGCTCGAGCAGGTATTTTGCTAGGTGTTCTTCAGGATTTCGTTGGTTCGAAAAACATTGATTGCCGACCGCCGTTACGTACGTGTCATCACTGCGATATGGCGTTTTCGCTTCTCCACGTCATCACTAGAATGATTGGGCTGATATCTCTGGCGGCGATTTCCTCGGCCCCATGCTCGCGCATCTGCAATGATCTCCACGTACGCGGATTACGGACCTCCAGTCTATAAGGATTTAGTTACATGGCTACTTGGCGAACTTTATAATGAAGGCAAGCTGCTATTTCGTTTGATTATATAGTACTGATTATGTAGTTTCCCATCCGGGAAAGCCTTGAGAGGCGCGAGCGAGCGGGGTGCGCGCTGTGCAGGGACGAGGGCTGCCAGTCGCTGAATGTGAAGTCGCTGGAGAGCGGCCCCGAAGTCCCGATGTGGCGGTCGTACCCCGAGTGCTCTTGCCGCTCCGGAGCGCAGGAGTGCCCGCCCGAAGCCAAGGGGCCCCGCCCGCCCTCCGCTACGGTGAGTGCCAGCAGGGTTTTCAAGTTTTAGTTTTAGTTTTTAGGTCTCTTTTGAACAACTTAGACATATAGCGACCAGTATGATTTCTTTAACTGTAGGGGAACTGTAGGAAAAACACGTACGGACAACACAAACGCACACAAACATCCTTGCCCGAGGCGGAACTCAAAAGCCGTGTCCCTCCGAGCCGAGGCAGCTACGGCACTTAGGCCTTAGTGACTTTAGCTATCCAGGCCGGCAGTGTCAAGTGTTTTCTTTAGAAGATTGGAAAAATTCCACGGAGTTCAATGGAAGAATTTATAAACACTCGGAGCACTATTCATAACTTTACATCATTCCCTCGGGATTTTTCAACCATTTCGAGAATGGTATTGGAAGGGGAAAAGTTTTTACCGCTAGTCCAGTAAATTCGTGGTTCAGCAAATTCTACTGGCTCAGCTTGGTTGGTGAAGCTTAAGAGGTTATTCCTAAACCATGAGCTTCGAAGATAAAACAGCTTTCTCAACTCTTTAAAAAAATCTAACATTTCCATTTGCGATTATCGACAATTTACAGATTTTACTTCTCATTCTTTCAAGCTCTAATTTTTAAGAACAGATTTCATTAAGAAAAAATATTTCGTCACCATTGAGTTGAAGGCGTAGAATCAATTTTAGACTTTTGCAATTTTCGAAATTTAGAATTCAACAAAAATTGTACCAGTGCCATATTTATATGCGCACTTCAATTTGTGAGAGGAACAATAAATAAAAGTCATGTGCCTTTTCTGATAAAATATTGTTTACAATTAAGCACACAACTACTTTTTTCATGTCACATTTACTACAAAGTATGTCTGCGCACCCCTAACAAGTGTCACTGGTCTTTTAACGTCTGCATGCGATGACAGCATAATAATTTCATTTTCAAGAGCCTGAATCAATGGATTCGGTTTAGAATAAACCGGTTAACATCACAAGGTTTCATCTAATTTTGTCTCCCACCAAATGGTAAACGATCATTTCGATGCCATAACACACAGCAAACATGAATTTAGCATATTCATCTCACTAGTGTTGAAATATTACATCCAATATTCTTCGTCCTGTGTTGCACATGTACACTCTCAACAAACTCAAAACTCCCCATTATTATTTGTGATCACGTGTAATTTCGTTGTTGTCTGTTCAGCAAATTTTGCTTCACTCGGCATAAGAGGTTGTGATTTACACAGGTGTGCACGGGTGACCTGTTGCTGAATTTGACTGGGGTGATGAACATATCAACGTGGATCGTGAGGAACACCAACCTGGAAGAGGAACGCACGTAAGAATGCGGTGTCGTCATATACATTATATCTTAATCCTGCTTTCGACCAAGAACAGGGACAAATTGTGGCGAAAGTTGGTAAACACTGGAATATTGAAAAGTTTATAGTGTCAAATATACGTGTAGTTTATCAAGAAATTTTATTTGGTTAATTATATCCAGGGATACTTGTAAAAATATGTAGCACTGCAATTATCACGCATTTAATGTATTGTAATATAATTAGTGATAGCATCGTCTCTTGGACAAGAATTCCTAAAAAAGTAATTAAACCATGTTCTCTCAAGAAACAGCTAGCAGTGTATACCCTTGACATCTAAGATCTTTGAAAATCCCAGTCTTCAAATTCTTGCTTTTTTTTCTTCCGGGGGCTTTTTCCGGCTTCAGTGGACGCCGATTTTCGACTATCCGCGCAATGCACCCACTATATCCCTCATGGAGGCACATATCAACCTTTACACTAGATACTGACAGAGATAGGTCATATCATACTGATATGAAAGAGAAAGGATGAAAAACCATGCCCACGACTATACTCAACCCGCAACCCTTGAGACAGAGGCGCCGAGTCGTCATACGCTCTAGCGTCAACTTTGAAAAAAAGGTCGGGTCTTCAAATTCTTGATACAAGCGGAAAATAATATTATTTGATACTGAAATGAAAACTGAGTTCTTATTGTCTTGGATTCTAATTTAAAGGTGTAAATGAAATCTATCTACTTCGCTTACCATTCATTATTTCATGTATTTACAAAATGACTCATATCAAACTGCACAATATGTTTTAGAAATACATTAAACAACTTCATTTCTATTGGAAACACGCCTCTAGAGAAAAAAGAAACATCTATTAATATATTACATAATACCCAATATAGTTGAAAAATACTCTATGGTCTCTGTGTATTTCCTACATACACTGATTTTTGGGTCAAGGCTCAGAGTTAGATATGACTGGAAGATCAGTGAGCAAATGAGAACTTTGTATCAGTGAACGTCAGGACACGGGACACGGTCTTTGTTTCCGCATCGAGTGGCATAAAGACATCGGTAAAGTCCCCATTACCGGGCCGCCACCTCCACCTCAGGGGAAGGCTTCTTTGACGATGGCCTTTGACCGATGATATTTCTTCCACGGTGCCTGGTGTTGGAATTTGTGGGCCTGGTGAGATATTTTTTATTCCTGGAGGCAATATAATTTCCAGGACGTTATATTTCCTATGATCACTTAAGTCTAGGTACAAAGGTCACTGTAATCGAATCTTCCTGTGCTTATTTGGAATGTAAGTGAAACGAGACTAGTGACTTAAGTACACGATACCCTAGAGTTACCTACATCGGAGTTCACTATTAATAGAATTAACTGTATATCGAAGGTATATAAGCAGTTATTGGTTTATTTAAGTGGTTCAAATCCAAGCAATTTTTATAACGATAATTTTGTTTGGAGAGTTCCTTTAGGTCACCATTTTTGGTAATGGTATTTTGTGGTTGTCAAGTCATTATCATATTAAAAATCAGTTTAATATTCCCAGAAATGAATAATGTCAGTAGTAAACACATTTATGCGTTGCATAGATAAATTTTAACAATGCATTTATGTATACAATTTACAAAATTTTGTTTTTTATCATGAAGTTCACAGCGATTAACGATAATCATATGTGTTCTAAAATTTATTTTTGTGCACAAAAATGTGTACTTTTGTAGGGGACATATATTTGGACATTGGGGTTGTATGGTAAAGGAACAAACTCTTCACTTATGATGATTGTGATCAGTAATCAAATATTTAAGGATTGTAATCTCATGGGCTTCTTCCGTAATTAATTGCAAGCGATTATGTGAATCTTTAAAGATCCAAAGTATTGTCGACTTTTCTTCATGCCTTAAGAGTTAACTTGACTTGCAGGTTTGGTGGATTTACCTTCGGCATCCATGTGAATGATGTGGCGTGGAGTGTGGGCGATAGTATGAATAGGCTGCTTGCGATATCAGAGAGCAGCCCCATCCCTGAAGGTAACACAACATCGTGGCATGAGACTACCACACCTCCGAACGTCTCTTCGTCCTCTTTGCCCAACGAAAGCAGCGACAGTGGTCGCAACAATTTTATCAAGGTATGCATATAACTGAATTAGTTATTTTTTCACTGTAATAAATGTAACTACAAATAAGTGCACGAACGAAAAGAACAGAATGAGCGATTTAGGACATCAATTTTCTTCAAAGGATTTTATTTTATTTTATATAATTCTGACCTGTGCAAAATACATATTGTCTATTGGATACGGTCGGATTTCTCGCAAGTCGTATGAGCAACGAGGCATAAACATTTTGTAGCCTTAAACTCCCGAGAGAAGTGCATAACGTAGCCAGGCCAACTACTCCCCTTTCTTGTCGACGGAGTCAGGTTACGGCGGAGAAATTATCGCAAAGAGGGGGAATCGTCCCCTCTGCCCCTTTCCGCGTACGCGCAGTCCAGCGCTTCCTTGCGAGTTGACGAAGCGCAGCGTTGCGCGCCGTGCTTCGGCCGCAGGTGTGGTTCAACAACAACGGCTGGGCGACGTCGGCCGCCTACCTGAACGCCATCAACAACGTGGTGCTGCGCGCTCTGGTGGCGGAGGCGCGGGGCGCGCGGGGCGCCGACGCCGCCGAGGTGCGGAGGGGCTGGCCGCCCGTGGCCGCCTTCGGCATCGCCGCCGTCAACCACCCCATCAACAACTTCGACGCGCACATGCAGGACCCGGATTACTTCATGTGAGATGACAGCCTTCAATGATGACATTTTTGCGGTAACCTTTACACTGCTGTGTATATCAAATTGATACGTTTTTTCACCACCAGGCGAGGCCATTTATATAATTCCCGCTTTCCTAGCATGAATAGTCGACCTTGGTTGGTCTCTGAGAGTAACTTATTGTAGTTAGCGTGAAGATTGAGATGCGAAAAAAACGGGGGTTAATTTTGAGATTAACATACGTGGAATTCAAAGAGTTAATGCAAAATATCTTGTCACTTGGTCATAAAGAGAAAACATTTCTTAAAACGCAGTTTCGTAGATGGCACAGGTTCTATCAATTTGGGTGTCATCCACTTTAGCCGAAATGTTCCCTTCTATTTCCAATGCGTTTCTGTGTGGACTTTCACTTTTACATTGAGCCAGATGTTTACAGTATATCTCCCTGAGTCAAAAGTGCTGTTTTAACGAGGGCATCTAGCTAACCGTCAGTCCGCAAAAACGCTATTAGAGATGTGTAAATCCCCGCAGCCAATGCCAAAGGTAATTCGTAGGACAGCGGTCCAGCGTACGACAGCATCACCAGCAAACCGACGCGTCGATAGCATACGAGCACATGTTACTTCTCCGTATGGTTACCTCCAGCATCAACCCTGATTCTTAGAGATTCTCATAAAATATGTAGTGTCTTGCTCTTCGATATATTTTTCAGTCTGTTCCATAAGAAACATATTTCCTCTATTGTTAACGTACGTTGTTTTTATGTGTATCATTTGTTTAACGTCACGGACAGCGGTCTACCGCTTAGGAAAGTCTGGAAGAGTCTGGAAGAGAATTCTAGCTGCTGGCATCTCTGATTCGTAGTTTTCCATAGTTTCTCCAATCAACACCAGGCGAATGCCCGAGCAGTACCCCAAAAAACGGAGAACGGACCACACGTGATCTTTCCTTTCTCTTTCTTGTCCTATCTTTACCCCTTACACACACTTACACTAACATGCACTACATTACCACACATGCCAGGGGACCGATCGGGAGCTTAGAGTTTGTCCCGACTAGAGTAGTGCCCCGCTGGTGGGAGATACCTGGTTGATGACCACCACACGGGCACCACACGGGCACTTTGTTTGAAATCTCATCCCAGGCGTCGGCCACCAAGCTACATGCCAAGCGGGAAGTGTTTAGACTCATTTTGAAAGTGGCATAAACTGACGATTTTCATAGTTCACCCATGTCCTTTCACATGCACTTGACTATTGAAACTGAAGCTTGGCAAGCGGCGAATGAGGTAGAGCTTATTTTCCCCTAAGAAACAGTCATTTACCAGAGAATACGCAAATGCGATGGAGGTAGCGGTCCACTTTCATCTCAACCAGCGTTGCAAAGATTTGCAAAATCTGACGCATGCAATTCAAGTGGTGCAAGTACAATTCTTAATTGTTTGATGAGAACATTAGGTCATTATAAGAAGCTTGTTTTATGCAGTACAGTAAAAGTATAGCGAGTATATCAGCTGAAAATCAGTTGATAATTAATAAAATCAATAGGATACGTAAACGTCATTTTTTGTATAGTAGAAGAAATTTATTAATGCGGATCGCTTGTTCTCTTTGCAGTCCCTAATCAGTGGTCGTAACAGCAAATTTCTCTTACATTACGTAGACCCCAAACTGGTGTACAGTAGAGAGGATCTCAGACACGCCTTTCCTATCTTTCTCGGCGACGAGACCAGTACGGTTCTGGTACTGCCGTTGTAAAGAAGAAACGATACCGACTCTAGGCCTGTTATCAGGGTGCGCCCTTCGTGTCGGTGGGCTGAAAAGCAACAATAAACGCTGGAGGATCATCTTTCGAAATCTGGATTATCGCTTGCGAGGCTGTCAGGTGACCTGACCTGACGATTTATTAATTGATTCCGGGCGCGTCAATTGTCCGTAAGGTCCCGTAGAACGTATTTTTTACCCTCACGGTCCACAGCCTCTTTGTTGGGGTACTGATATGGTATGAACTGGTATTGATTGGAGAAAGAACGGAAAACTACCGATCAGAGCAGCTGGTCGCTAGAATTCTCCTCCAGACAGCCGCTGAATTTGACCTAGATATCTAGCTAGTCTGAAAACTTTTGCCACTGTCGTCGGGGCTCAAACCCCACGACCTTGCCGGAATAGGCACTGCAGTAGCATCAATTCCTTCCCACCTAATCCATTCTGACCTCTGGAATACTGCAATGTATTTTCGCGTTTTGCCAGGATCCTGCGGGTCTAACAATGCTTAATTAATCTAGCGGCACATATATTCTTTGTAGATAATCTCGACTATATTTCGGTAAATTGTCAAGTCCATGGTAATAAAATATTTAGTTATCGCAATTCCGCAAACGTTAGTATTTTCTCTTCCATGCTTTCATTGTAAACGCAATTTCCTGTGGAAGCCGATATCAGTGAACGTAGTGGAATACTACATGAACACTTAACTGCGCTTCGTATGATTCCTGCTTGCAATGACCGCTGGCGCCGAATCACTTCTGAATAAACAACTTACTACGCGTAGTGCCGTATTTGTGCTACTTGTACAATAAATAACACTTTTGGTAGTTTCTTTTGTAAGGGCGCTCTTGGCGATCCTCACACGTGGAGAACATTACAACTCTCCGCAAACTGCACGCCCGCTCCACCGACTCTGCCGAGAATGACCGGTTGTGGGGAGATATCGTAAATGTCTTTAAACAGCTTATATTGTGGCTAGTTCAGTGTACAGCCATTGGGTATCAACTTGAATGTTCGTTTAAATGAAGTGCTGCGCTTGCATTGTGGCTTGAATGCACCGCAGGATGGTGTCGAACATCAACGTGGTGCACGGGCTGACGGTGTTGCTGGCCATGAGCTTCGTGCCAGCCTCCTTTCTGGTGCTGCTGGTGGAGGAGCGGGTCAGCCGCGCCAAGCACCTGCAGACGCTGTGCGGCGCCGGCCCCGTCGTTTACTGGCTGTCCGAGCTCGTCTGGGGACTGGTACCTCCACTGTTGGCACATAGCAGGCTAAATTATTTCAAATTTGGCGTCGTATTTCTAATACATTTGATTATAACCATTATTTGGGGGCGAATTAATAGCAAAGGGCATATATTTCAAACTTACCGCGCCCGAGATTGTTTCTCCTCATACATTACCTCCGAATGCATTACAATGAGAAACTAGTGATGCTACAGAATGGCACAGACTTTCCCGTATTTGTTTTCTGTTTCCTTTGGTCTCAGCTAACTACTCGGACTTGGAACATACTCTTGCCAGCTGCCATCTATCGCGGCCCAAAATGCGTTTGTTGAAATACTATTATTTTTTTCTGTTTCTTGATAGTAGAACGGAAATATTATTTTAAGAATTTTAAAGAGCAGTAAAACTTTGTCATAAATTGCAATTTTTTTGAAAAGGGAGGAGCCATTTTTAATAAGGTGCTTAATCGCTTCTGTAAATTCGAAATTTGAAGCACTTTTTCACAGAAAATTTATGAGTTTTCGAAAAACTTCATTTTAAGTCGTTCAAAGCACTTTAACTCACAAATACAATAGTACTTACAAGTTGCTGAAAATGTGCGTATTATCGGCGTGAGATATCTTTCAAAAAATTACATTTGTGTATTTTTCAAAATACTATCGGCTTGGTATCTACGTTTTACAGTTGTTTCTTAATATATATTATCGTGCGGAAACAAATCAGCTTGTAAAAGTGGACAATGTATTTTATCGTAAGGCTATGATTATATATGTATATAATCATATTTCTTCGTACAGCCAGTACAATCTTTCTTTGATAAAACGTATCAAAACAATTGTGATTTCGTTTTCTATTACATTTAAAAAAGTGAGGCATCAGGAGATTGGTATGTTGCTCAAAATGTTTATTAATGGGAGCAGGTATAACATTGGCGAAAATGTCACATTCTTTACAGGCGAGCTATTTGGTGACCACAGCGCTGTGCGTCATAGTTTTCTTCGGCTTTCACGAAACGGCATATGTTACCCCTGGATACGTCGAGTTCTTCGTGGCCTTGGTATTGTTCTATGGGTAAGCTTTCAACTCATCGAGATGCGAATCACAAATGTCCATAATATCTTCAAAGGCCGAAATGGCAAAAAAATAACGCATTCAATCTCCCGGTAAAATATAAAGCTATTTTCAACAATTATTCTACACCTCCTTCTCTGTTTTGTAGATCTACGGAATTTTAAGGAAATAACGTTCCGAATATAGCTAAATGGAGACGTAATCAAAAGTTGATTTGAATACATGAGTTAACAACCAGAGGTAAAGAATTAACCATTCCATGAAGAAGTCTCACAAAATGATAAAATATTATTTTTTTAAAAAGTATGTTAACTGCTTGTTTTTCAAAATGAAAATTTCTAAATTACTGCGACAAGTAAACGACCAAATAGAGATATTTCGTGACGGAGACGGGAATAAATAGACACTTTTTGAACATACATAGTACAATAGGGACAAACTGTCTGTGCGTTTCTACTACATTATTGTGAAAATAGCTTATGAAGATAAGGCAGTCATTATATACTCAAAAAATAACCTAAAATAAAGAACCATTTGTTAGCGATGATCAAAATGTATCAGGTTTTTTATTTATCCTAGTTGAATAATATTATTTTCTTCCATAATGGACGTTCAAATTGAAATTTTGTAACATTTAGAACACTTAAGTCGATGTTATACATGACATAAACGTACCTTGTCTAAATATTAAAGTAAAATCTGCTTTCCTTTTTTTGCAATTTGTTTACAGTTGAAACATTTATGTGTAAGAGATGACTTCTGACATTTTGACACGTGGTTGCCATTTTCAATTTTATATCTCGCGTTCTGACTTCTGTGGTGGCGCAGCTGGGCGACTGTGCCGATGATGTTCCCGTTCAGCTTCTTGTTCCGGGAGCCCAGCACGGCCTTTGTTCTGATGGCATGCCTCAACTTGGCACTTGGCATGGTCACCTCTGTCACCGTTGTGCTTTTGAACCTCCTCGGCTCACAGGTGCGATTATTATTACTATTATTATTGTTATTATTATTGTTATTATTATTACTAGTACTACACACTTTCACCTTTCGTATGGAATGAAGGGTCCCATTTTGACATAAACAGTTTGAATGTTCTTGAGGGGGATTCTCCACCAGTAAATTGTTTCTTGAGGCTAACTTCAGATGCATTTTGTTTTTTTAGCTCATCATGGATTGCCCTCTCATAGATTATTTATATTGCAGTAAAAACAATGATTGCAATAAATTTTCATGCTATTTTATATGTATTTTGTTAAATGTAATATGCTGTTTCCAAAACTCAACTCACAAATTCAGATGTCAATTGAAATAAAAAACTATTTTTTAAGTTATTCAACTTTATTTTCGGTTTCTTGTAGTTCCACTACACTTCATTTAGATTTAGATTTATTTGGTAAAAAAAAACCAGTAAAAACCTGTATGTAACGTAGGGGGGAGGAAGAGTATCTGCGCACATTTTCTTGAGTTCCAGAATCCCTTCCCGTCATTTTAACTACAAATAGTTGAAAGGTGAGTATAAGTTTAACATAAATAAATAAATATATAAAATAATAAATAAATTTTAAACATCGTAAGATTAGTAATATTTGAAAAATAGTCAATTTTGCTTCTGAGTTATAAAAAACTTATTTGCATCGGTACACGAATTGCAAGTATGATTTTTCTGCATTTCTAACAAAATAGCAACTCGCCCTTACCTCTACTCTTACCATTACAAGGAAAAGGAGAGTTCAACAAAACGTGCGCATAGTGAAGCTACATTTACGTCCAGAAGCAAAACAAGGAAAATGGACAAAAACCTGATCGAGATGGGGGTCATTGACCCGGAAGCTGATGCACATTATTTGTTACAAACATATTAAGTCTTTTAAAAAATATACAATACCAATGTAAACTAATTCATTATATATCACTGTTTTTTTAAATTAAACATTATTTTTCTTTTTGATATTCAGTTTAGTCTCTAATTGTATAAAAATAGTTATGCAACAGAAAAGATTTTACTTTTAACTTAAATTTGTGAACAGACTTTAATTGTTTAATGTCATCTAGCAGTGCGTTGTAAAGTAACGTACATGTATGTGGATTTCTGGTACTGAGCTGTTGATACTGACACTTGACGAACGTGATTTTTACGACACATGAAAATACACACACTATTGTTCCATAATACGTATGTTCCCATCGATAAGTCACGTTTGACAAATATTACAGATTCGTAAATATATAGGTAAGGCAGTGGTAAGAATCTAATGAAGAGAGGCTTGCAAGGGTAACGCGGATGACATTTTTCATTATTCGAATAATTTTCTTTTACAATCGAAAGGTCTGAGTACTACATGATGAGTGGCCTACCCTTAGCCTTGATGTCAGCTTCCACTCTCGCAGGCATACTTTCAATCAGGTGCTGGACGGTTTCTTGGCAAATGGCAGCCCATTCTTCACTAAGTGCTGCACTGAGGTGAGGTATCGATGTAGGTCGGTAAGATCTGGCACGAACTCAGCGTTCCAAAAGTTCAAAAAGGTGTTTGATATGATTCAAGTCAGATCTCTGTGCAGGCCAGTACATTACAAGGATGTTATTGTCGTGTATCCACTCCGCCCCAGACTGAGCAGTATGAACAGGTGCTCGATCGAGTTGAAAGATGCAATCGCCATTCCTGAATTCCTCTTCAACAAGCAAGCAAGAAGGTATTTAAAACATCAACGTAGGCTTGCGCCGTGATAGTGCCACACAAAACAACAAGGGGTGCATCCTCCCTCCATGAAAAACACGACCACACCATAACACCATTTTGGACGTGTCGGGATACTTTTGGTCACATAGTCTATGAATGCAATCTGTGAAACTGTCTTACTACATCCAGAACTAGAGAACAAACACCGATTTGGGTTCTTCACTGGGATAGAGGTCGAAGATTGGCCTAAGGAATGGCCGTGATGTCGTCCTCTGGGGAGCAGTTATTACAGAGGCGGCCCCAAGAAGGCTCCTTACACCTCGAGGGGTGACAGCCGGGAATGGGGCTGGTCAAAACCGAAAAGGTACCCGAACTCCAAAAAGGGGAACTAGCTCGAGAAATCAAGTGCCATTATGTAACACCACTAGTTATATTATGTGTATTACTTCGTTAGGGCCTTCATAGATCTTGGATCAGAGGAAAACCAAAATTCTCTTTTTATCACGCAATTTCATTAGTTGTTACTGTAATAGGGGCTTTTAAAAGAACAAATATTTGCCCATAATCGTGGTCCAACCTTAATTTTCTACGCTAGAGACATCCGCGACAACAGTTTTTGAGTCGTTTCCTTACTAAGACGATTTCCAGAACACACCGAGAGAGGGCGTAGACTGATGCAACGGGTGCGCCGCCCGGGGACCCGGAATGACGTTGCCCGTCGACCCCCGATAAACGTGGCAATGACAATCAGAAGCCTCATTTTGACTTTCTGAAGCGGGGCCCCCGAGAGCGTAGCTACGCATCGGCGAAGTAATTATGAAATCCTGTTAGGTCAGAAATCGTCGATTGGATTATGAAAATCACAGGCAGTAGAATTGTGTAATTAGAGCAAAATGAGAAATTATGACAAAATTTGTTGTTTTAAGAATGGAAAACGTATTGTAATAGGAAACTAAGAACACATTGGAAGATCGACGGTAATTTCAAAGGCAACGTTAGACTACCACCATGAATTGTGAAGATTCGCAGTAATAAGACATTGAAGTGTAACTTTTCCCACGTATGTGTGAGATTTCGAATAAAACAAAATACATGTATTTTAACATTTTTTGAAACTTTCATGCAGAATTCAGGTATTAAAATTATAGTCGAGCGAAAAGTAAAATATTTTGTTAACAGCCGTTGATTACAATTAGGTTTGTAATTAGGGCTTTGTAGGTGGCAGTCATGACAATTGGTTTAACTGATATTGTTGACTGTATAATCGTACAATGCATTATATCACTTTGCATGAAATGTACACGGTTTGATTTCTCTTAATTGATTGAAACGTTTGCTCCTATATCTTCCAGAAGCTGTATCTAATACAGCAGCAGCTTCGCACGTTATTCCTCATCTTCCCGCAGTTCTGCTTGACCCAGGGGCTCATCGACCTCGTCGTAATGTACTACACCACGAAGGCGCAGTTATCACGTGAGTTGTTGAACAAATACTGAAGGAGTTGTCATCATTAACAGCGGCATACCAATTCAGTCAGATTCCCAGAACACACCGATAGGGGCGGCCAAAGGTGGACGAAAAACTGTATATGTTTAAGAAATAATTTTAAATTAATTTATCAATATATTACAATCATTATGTAAGTTTGGTAGACATCTTTTCTGATTTGGAGGCACGGCAAGAATATTTATATTTTTATCATTCTATGTGTACGGCTCTTTCACAGGAACCCAGGTGGCTACAGGGTAATCCTCGTCACACTTCATGGGCTACCTCTACTTATTTACTGTTTTATGGGACACTGCATATTGTTCTAGATTATTAATTTTATAACGAGCAAGACCCCTCTGAGACAAAGGTCTTTTGCCCAGGTAATCTTACTGCACAAAAAAAGGCTCAGAAAGGTAACAGTCGGCAGATGAGAGAGAGAGAGAGAGAGAGAGAGAGAGAGAGAGAGAGAGAGAGAGAGACACGCATCCAGACGCCCCCCCTCCCCCTTCGTTTCATTGACGGCCGTGACTGGAGGCAGCGGTTTCAGGGTTTGTACAGCCCTGTCTATTGTGGGATAATGTCTGTCGAGAGAATAAGCGCTCTACAAGCACGACTTCCAATTCAGGGCAGTGAAACACCAAACTAATGACACTGTCCACGGTTTCGACAATCACGCATTGCCACACGACGCAGTGCCTATTCTTTCCAGCACTAGTTCTGCGACACTGAAACACAGAAACCCGATGTGATACATAATGTGATACATAATGTGAAACATACATGTGACACATAATGTGTGCGTGGTATGCCAGTATAGTTCATAATGTTTGCTAACAAAGTATATGTTAGGAGTCACAATTCTTTCAAAATTGTATTCCATTACTGGAATAAAATTACATTGAAATAATGATGAGTAGTAAATATTGTACTCCTTTTAACGAGTCGAGTGTTGTCTTAGTCACTGACAGAATTCAGATCCTATGAGTGACGTTAATTCTCGTTAAACTAATATAAAAGTTGTTTCAAGTTTGAAATGTAATTATAAAATAAGTTTTCTTTCCTTACTATTTTCAGATATTTTCAGAGATGTTTTATATCTTGGAGAGCGTTAGTGAAGAGCTTTAACATAACATCTGATACATGTTGGTCGAGGACCTTTTTCTATTTTCTGAGTCGGAGTAATTTTCATTGTGTGAGCCAGTGGTCGGGCCTGGAACCCGGGCAGGCTTGGAGCGTATGGGGGAACTGAGCCTCAACATCTGGTACATGTTCGGGGAAGGCATCGCCTTCTTCCTAATCACTCTGCTCATCGAGAAGTGGCCCAAGGACCTGCGTCGTCAGCCCTACGCCCACCGGCTAGCCGTAAGTGATAAGGAAAATATAATTTGATCTCAAGGTCATCGAATACTAACGTATCTAAAGTAATTCTTCCCAGAACAAAGCCTGAAAGTCAATTAAGTGCAAAGCAGATCGTGACAGTGAGGTCTAAGAACCTACTTCATAGTGATCACTTACAATGAATTTTCCTTAAGTGTCTAATGCTAATTTAAAAGAGCCCTAATTTTCAAGTAAGTGAACAATGTGTGATTTGATTATAGCGAGATTGCAGTAAGAGCGATTGCCCGCACCAATAAGTGTTACTCACTCGGCCTCCTTTTTTAAAGCTTTGGATATTTCCTTCGCGGTGCTTACCGTTACAGTGGACAACGATGAGAATTTCGCAGAATATTAACATCAAACGTTCACGAACGAAACAAATCACATCAAACGTTCTTAATGCGAAAAATATTAAATGTGTATGTTAGCGTTTACAAATTTGAAGCTGATAGAACTGCAATTAATTTATTTTTTGTGTACCATCACTATAAACGACTTTTTCTGCTTCAAGAAATCTTTCATAAAATAGCATTTTACAGCCTAACTGATTACGCATTTTACGGCACGAATGATTGCGTCATAACACTCAGCCAATCGCAGCGAGAGAATCGTTAGGTGGTCGCGGCAATCGGAGCAGCCGACCGCCGTTTACTCTCAAAGATGACAAATACCCGAGACATCACAAGAAAGTAGATTTTACAAAAATAATTACTTAAATTACTTAATTACTATAATTAATTAAATTTTACAATATTATAATTTATAATGCTGTTATACAAAAAGTAGCGTGTGCAACTCATTTATAATCTTGCTTTACTATACTCGTACATATTTGAAAACTCGCTCCTAACGTCGCTTGTTTTCAAAATACGTACTCATGCAGTAAAGCTTAACATCATAAACTAATTGCATAAACTACTATTATGGTAGCCAGGAAGCTGACCTTCCAAAATGTATCTTCAAAATTATTCACTGAAACCAACGAGAGGTTCGGTATCCCTTACTTCAGTTTGCCTACATGCTAACTTTGCACATTTGGCAATAAATGTCTCTTCATAGAGCCAAGAAAGCAATGAGAGGCTACAAAACAAGTAGGTGAAAAATAGAAATGTATAACAATAATAAAAAATTTAGTGTATATGAAAGACTTCAAAATGTTTCGAAAGTCAAATTCGCGCTAAGTTTTGCAAATTCGAAAATTTGCCACATTCTGCTAAAATACTCATTTTTTAAACGTACGTAACTTTTTTTAAAGACCTTACATTTTTAGAAAAAAATGTATTTTTAGAAAAAAATGTGTTGAACACAAAAATCATATCACGAATATTGTTCTTTTGCAATTCTAATTTTTACTTTCTCGCTACTGCTTTCGCAATATATAGAAAGTATTGTAATGTTGCTGGCCAAAATAATTTTCGATACAAAAACTCTTATAGCCGAGCCCTGATAACGAAGAAGTGGATAAATCTTCTCCCTATATAGTATGTTACTTCCTCTAACACGTTGTGTAGTCAGAATCCATGTTTTCTGGGTTCTTGATACCGAAAAATCGATTGACGACAAAACGTCTGTCTGTCTGTCCGTCGATCTTTACAATTGTCAATATTTAGACATCTCTCTCACGCCGTTAATATTTACATTAACGTACAACTTCAAACTTTTATACCGTTAGTGCTAATACCATTTTACTGTATTCTTTTGTTTTTCGAAAAATTGCGCAAATGTAATTTTTTTGAAAGATCTCTCACGCCCTTAATATGCACATTCCAACGGTTTGTATATATTATTGCATTTGTGAATGGAAGTGCTTCAAATGAATGTCAATGAAGGATTTTGAAAAGTCAAAAGTGTTCTGTGAGACTGAGCTCAAATTTTCGTATTTACAATGACATTTATACAATTAAACATTTAAAAGTTTATATAATTTTCAACATTTTTACACCCTCACAAAATTTGCAAAACAGGGACAAAAAATAGTTTAAATTAGTCAAATTGCTTAAAATGATTGAAAATATTATGTAAAATTGAATAAAGTTGGAAAACATAGCTAAAGGTAGGGGAAATATTTATGGATTCTTTTATATGGTTCGTAGTGAGAAAATTTTAAAAAGTTTAAGAGCGGGGAAAATAAGGGTGTAATAAAGTTGTGAATATTGTGAACATTTGTAAAAATGACTTCCATTTTTCTACTTTGTTATGAAATTTTTGTAAAAATTCTACATATTGTCTCATTGACTGCTTTTAAGAAGCGTATGAACACTGCAATTATTAGCGTTCTGAAAGCAAAAGGCCGCGATGCACGCGTGTGGCGGCAACGCCGTGCCCGAAGGCGGAAGGCGGCGGCAGCAGGGAGGCGCCGTTGGACGCCGACGTGCAGGCGGAGCGCGAGCGAGTGCACTCGCTGACGCCCGAGCAGGAGCAGGCGCACGCCCTGCTGCTCAAGGACCTCTGCAAGGTGACCAGCCACTCGGCTCCAATGCGTTCTTGGAACATTGGGGTTTACTTTGTGATGCAAATTTCTCTTCAGTATGAGTTGGAGTGCCCAGTGAAGGATTCCTGCGTATACCTGATCTTTCAATTTTCCTCAAAGTAAAAAAAAAAAACCAACACCCCCCCCCCAAAAAAAACTAGATGTTAGATCAGGTGATCTGGGAACTCATAATTCACGATTGTCACCGTATTCAGTACATAAAATCATGCTTGGTAATGTTATGTCGAAAAATTACGTAGTACAGAAAGCTTTCCTGTTGCAAAGAAAAATTCATCAAGCGTGCACAGTTTGGGGTCGTGGGTTTGGCCATATTGGATCTCAAATGACACGTCAGCCACGATCGGCCCCAGGTTGCGCACAGAGATGGGCAAAGATTGCCCGGACTGTTGACTAAAATTAAGGATTGCTAACAGAGCATGGTAACTTGGTGATGGACGATGGCGGATATTTGACACTAGCTACGTTGCTGAATTAATAGGTCGAATTCAACAGCTGCCGAGCGGAATTCTACCGGCCGACTCATCTATTCGGTACTTTTCGATTCATTTATTGATGAATACGTGACAAATGCCAGAGAATAACCCTAACAAACTGGCCACCAACAGTACGACCTTTCCTTCCTGTCCTTTGTCGTATCCTCACCTCTTATTTACATACACTTTTACTAACACTGAAATCTACCAATCAGAGCAGTCGGTCCCAGTAATTCTCCTCCACACAGCGACTGAATTTGACCTAGCTATTTATTCAGCTTTCGTCGGGGCTATAACCCCATAACCGTCAGAGGCGCTGCAAAGACATCGTAGGTACCCTGAGCTACTTAAGCCGATCGGAGCTGAGTTTGTCTCTGCTGTGGGAGAAGGGGTGCCCCGCCGCGAGAAATATTTGGAAGGAGAAAATTCCCGCCAGCCGGGGCAACGCGTATAAGTATTCAAGTGGAGTGCATGCAAGTGTAGCCTTGTACAAGGGGGCAGGAGGGCAGATGTCCGGTTAAATACCAATGAGAGCAGACGGCCGCTAGAATTCTTTTCCAGAAACTTACCTATTCGTTCTAGTAAGTGCCTAAAATCCGCCACCGTTCGGAATCTAACTAGGATCTCCCGGGAAACGATGCTGCGGAAGCGACGTTGCTTCTGAGCTATATCGCACCTGGTCTTACCCTCCTACCTCAAGTGTAGGAACTCCAGGTCTAAAAGAGGAATTTGTGAACCAGCTACTGCATAAAGCGAACGCAGTGGCTGTAGAAAGGAGTTCGTGCGCATGCGCAGGAGTACCGCAGAGGTCCCCTGGCCGTGGACGCCCTCTGCCTCGGAATCAGTCCCGGCGAAAGCTTTGGCCTCCTGGGCTTAAACGGCGCGGGGAAGACGACGACATTCAAGGTGAGCTCCCCTGGCTCGCTACCTTATGATTTTGGCAGAGGGAAATTAAAATGAGCCAGCAGCCAGTAGAAAATTTGGTAATATATTCCTTTTCTATTCACAAAGGGCAAGAATGTCAAAGTAAAAAATGTGGAAAATTTTTATTTATAAAAAACGTGTCCTACAACCGCAAAAACGCTGCTGAAATAATACCATACACAATGGTTTTCCAAATCGTAGCAACCACATTACTCAAGAACATCAAATACTCGCGAATAACACACCAATAAATTAAATTTTTAACGAGACAAGTCTTCGCGAAATCTGCAATAACGTAGTATGGTATGTTATCTCATATTTGTACAATCGTTACTTAATATGCTAAAACAAATTATAGTGTACTTTTGATTTTTTGCTTCTTTACGTTTTTTGGGATTATGATTACTAATCTGAAGTTTGCCAAAAAATCTGTTGAAATTTGAGATACAATGAAAAACATGAACAAATAACATTTTAGTTTGTTTTTTCACCAATATCTATAAAAATAGCGTATTTAGACCAAATATTTAGAAGTACTTTACATGAAGCTCATTCAAAATTTTCTCAAAAATGGCATTTAAAAAAAAATTCTTCTAAGATTAAAGTGAAAAACACTATAAGGATGGCACATGTCTGATTTTCACCCTTAACTCTAAATTTTCGAAAATTGCAAAAGTTTCAATTTTTTCGGCGTCTTCCTACAACTGCAAAATTGAAGATCAAAACTTTCTCTTCAAAATGAATTGTTTTCCTCAATTAGGTTTTTCATTAAGGTCATGTACATTTCCTTGAAAATTTTAATACTTTTCGTGGAATATTGTGAATATTTGAGTCTAATATTTAAAAACAACAAAAACAATAATTTCTCAAAAACCGCTCCATATTTTGTGTAGTACAATATACAACTACAATATTGAAGAAAAATTTTTATCTTAAATGAAATATGTTCCTTATAGACGTTTCTTTGAATAAGTTCATGTTCACTTTTTCGAAAATACAAGTAGTTTTCTTGTAATTTGACGTGAAATAAAGGCAATTAATTTTTTTTCTCATAAACTGCTCCAAGTTTTTTCCACATACAGAAGAAAGGATGCTTA